AGATGTGGTGCTGAGGGACATGGGGCAGGGGTGGCCTGGGCAGGGCTGGGGGAGTGGTTGGACTGGATGGTCCTAAAGGGCTCTTCCAACCAAAATTATTGTACGATTGTCCAATGTCATTGGCTTCACAGCTTGTGTGTCTGGAGGGGGATTTCCATGTAAGGCAAGGGAGAGGGTGGAAATGTCAAGCTCAGCAGCTTTCACTGTGACTTAGCACAACTTAATGACTTCCAATGCCCATGAGAGCATTTTAGCCCATGTTTTAGCTAAAAGTGCAAACAAAACCCAAAACATCACAACAAACACACAAATTTATTCTCCTCAGTGACTCTGTCAGGAGAATGATGTGAACCCAGGCAGTGAGTTGGGAAGGGGGTGGGGACACACACCGTGTCCTGCTGAGCCCTCTGGGCTTGAGAAACATCAGCTGCTGCTTTGTCACCTTGAAATCATCCTTCACAGTTTCCATGGGATGTCCTCTAAATAGCTCATGGGCTCAGAGCTCTGCCCAGCAGGGAGGAACAGGACAGCTGTTTGCTGCAGGGTGGGAACACAGATGGTTGTCCCCCCACACCCCTCTGGTTGGGGAGGGCTTGGTGCAACTCCCCATCCTCCATGCTGCCTTTGGCTTAGTTCATTATGCCTTTAAATCTTTTCCACTGTGCCCACGGCTCTGTGTTCTTCCTCTTGCCCTTCCTCTTTTATTTCTCCCTGCCAGCCCTGTCTTTGGGACATCCCATGGGCAGTCACCCTGGTCCTTTTTATTCTTTCTGTGCTGCAAAGGCTGGTTTCATGGCATACAACCCTGCCCAGCTCCTTCTCATCCAGGAGCTCCTGCTGCCTGGAAGCTGTTCTTTTGGACACCTCCAGCATTTCTATTTCCTCCTGTGTTTCATGTAACATATTCCACTATGAGGTCTGGTCCAACTTTGGGAGCTCAGCAAATAACACAAGTGCTGAAATTAAATCTTCCTTCTGGGGGAGGAAGGGCGATAAAATAGGTTAGTGCACATTTTTGATGGATGCTGCTGATTTTTCCCAAGACAGTGCCAGACAGCACAGCAAACCCAAGCAACAGAAGGGGGTGCAGGAACCCTAGGGTGCCCCCTGACATGCAGCCGTGTGGGTCTGACCTCTCTGTCCTGCCTGGGCTTACAGGGACTGACAGTTTTTTTCCACATCCGTTTTATTTCCTTTGAAACCAGGGATAGGAAGTCGGGCTATGATGCCCCTGTGTTCTGCCCCTGTGAAGACTGACTTCAGTGCAAGTGTGTTTCCTTTTTCACAGGCCTGATCAGCAAAGACAAAACACAAACCAAGAACTGGTTGTGGGTTTACCAGGAATAACCCCATCTTGGAGGGACGTTTGTGCTCTGTAAAGAAACGGAAGGTGTCTTGGTTTCTGCTTAGGTCCTGCTCCACAGTCCTCTCTTCCTGCCAGTTCTCTGCCTACTCTCATCTTTGAACCATTTCCTGAATTTCTCCATCCTGCCATTATTCCTCTTCAAGCTTCTCAGTAACTGTTTGTGCTTTTTGCATCGTTTCCCTGAGTTTCATATCTGCTCCTCCGATTGCTTCCTTTCTGTAGCCTCTCTCCCTGGCATTTTTGCTCCTGTGTGTGCCTCACTGTGCAACAGCGACTCATTCTCTTTGCAGGTGACAACCGGTAGCACCTTCTTCTCAGTCCCCTGCATCTGCCTCAGGCTTTTTCCAGAGCAGAGCTCCTGGTCAGGGCATCTCTTTGTATTATCAGCACTTAGGAGCCCTGCCCTTGGCCCAGGTCTCCAGGGTGGTAAATCCTTAAGAGTTTTAGGGCAAAAATACTTTTTTTTTTTCCTTTTATTTTGTTTGTTTGTTTGTTTTGTTTTGTTTTGTCATAAGCTGCTTCAAGGCGTGGAAATAATGGGACCAAGTTAGTCAACCTGCATCCTAGCCCACCTATGTCATTGCTGCATGTATACATATGTACATTTTTTTAACAGCATCAATGCAATGTAAGTTTTTAAGAAGTGTTTTGAAG